AATTGTATAAACGAATTGAGAAAGTTGGAACACATTTATCTTCAGTAAAATGAATATTCCCATAATTTATTCAGAACAAAATATTTAGAGCGAACAATTGTTTTCAATAAATTCTTCTTCAGGCTTTACAATTATAAATCCATTAATTTAAGCATACAATAGCCAGTAAAGGCAAATTAAAATCATATCAGAAAGTGTATTGTGGAACAAGTATAAGATGGGATGGAACAATAGTCAGATAGTTTTTTAATATGTATGGTCAATGAGGACATGGGACAAAATCAGATGAAGTAATTTAATTTAATGATGTATATATATATATATAGTCAACAGAAATACAGGTATCGAGAGTGTGTGTAATCAGGGTGTGTGAGACAATATGACAATAAACCAACGAATGGGGCGGACTAGACATAAGTTCAAGGTTGAATATAACGACAGTAAGAATGATTGTCAAATAATAACGATGATATGGTGTAAAATTACAAGCTTTATTGATGAATGATTGTCAAATAATAATAATGAATATAATGAAGTGGAATGAACAGGATTTTGTAAATACGATAGCAAGTTAGAAAAGCACTACCTAAACCTAAGGTAATAAGATCATAAGAAAGGTCATGAAATCATAAAAGTCGAAAATGAACGACTGTCAATGAAACAGAGGAAATAGAAGAAGAAGAAAAGAAAATTGTGAAAGGAATTTATAGTGTTAATGGAGGATTTGTTGGTTTTATTGTAGGCCAAGTTAAACATAGTGGTTGAACATACTTCTGTATGCAAAGAGATGGTCTTCTGGTAATAATTGCCACCGCTTCAGCTACTGATAGAAGACGCAGTCGAGCTCCTCTAGATAAATTACTAGGAACGCGGTAAATAACTGAGAACGCCTGGTCAAGTTCTATCTGGTGTCCAGTATCTACCAAGTGGGCTAAGACTGCACTATTTACACACTTGGTTACTCCTTTACTCAACTATACAGGTACATGTTCACGCGCGTGCATGGATAAAGCCCTCTGAGTACGGCCAATGTAACTAGCTCCACATGAGCAGTTGAATTCACAGATGCACATTGATGAGGCCATCTTTGGTAATTTATCCTTTACTTGCTGTGTGAGTACTGGTTTAGTTGAGAAGTTGAGTACCAGTTTAGCTGCAGGAAATGATCTATCTACTGATCTATTAAGTCGACATTTTAGAATGTCAGCTGCAATTTCATCTTTGTAACTTAACTTAAGATACAAAGGTTTCTTTTCTACGGTATCCACCTTTACCTTGTCTGTAGGTATTGACATATACTTTTTTAGGAAGCTCTGTGGATATCCATTTTCTTGTAGTGTGAGTTTCAGTTAATGCATTTCTTCCTTAATGCATTCCTCTGAACATATACGTTTTATTCTATAGCTTAGACACTCAACTAAGTTTCTTTTGTACTGAATGGGTGCGAAGCTATGGAAATGGGTGTAATGACCCGTCCAAGTTCACTTTCTAAATAATTTCCTTTGTAGGTATCCGTCTGTCTTCATGGTAAGGAAGACGCCTAGGAAAGGTATATTGTTATTGTCTTCTTCCTCACATGTAAACTGAATAGTTGGGTGAACACTATTAACAGCATTTAGAAGCTCTTGTTTATTAAGATTGATATCACACACGACAAAGGTATCATCTACGTATCAACAATAATAGTCAAACCCTTTATTTTTATCTTTAAGTGGACCGTTTTTAAGCTTTGTCAGGAAAATATCCGCTAGCATAGGACCCAGAGGTGATCCCATGGCTACACCATCAACTTGTCTATAAAAACCATTATTGAACATAAACTGAACATTCATTGTGCATTTCAATAACAATTCTTTGACTTTCTCGGATAGGATTCCTACATCTATCTTTCCTTCTATCAGCTGGTCGCATATGTAGTTGACTGTTTCAAGCAGCGGGACGTTGGTGAATAATGATGCTACATCCAGTGACATCATTTTCTTTCCCTTTAAATTCAGGCTCTTGGTAGTTTCCACAAAGTTAAATACGTCTTTTACATTGAATTTGACTAATTCGTGATGTAACGGCTCTAGTGCCTTTACCAACCACTTTGCTGTAGAATGATAAGGCGATTGACATATATCTAAGATGGGACGTAGTGGTACTCCCGGTTTGTAGACTTTCGGTAAACCATAAAGTCTTGGTGTGTGCGTACCTGAGGGTTTCAATTCGTCGAGTGTATCCTTAGGAATCAGATTACTGTCAACTAATGATTTTAGTGTCTTAGCCATTTGGTGTTCGGTTGCCTCAGTTGTGTCTTTACAGCTGCATAGTTTTGAAATTTCGTATGGTCGCTTAGAATGATATTCATTTTGTCTAAATAATCAATCTTATTCATGATAACTGTGCCAGATCCTTTGTCAGGCCTAGTTATTATCACATTTTCGTTCATTTTGAGGTTACGTAATGCCTATTCATATATTACTTTATGTGGTATAGTATCACTACCTAACTCACTCACTCCCTCCCTCCCTCCTCTATCTCTCTCAAACACAGACACTCGAATTTCCGTCATGTCAACCTCACCTAGGCTGTCTGGTGACATACAATTTCTCTATTCACCTGATTCAAATGTCATCGAAAAGAATGCACTTCACTGTCATCTTCATCTTCATGTCGTGTGATACAGTGTGATACAGACAATCTGTGCCAACGGAATGTTATTCTCACATGTTCTCACAGTTCAATTCGACATTAGCAACAGAATACGATATATCTATTTGAACATTCTATTTGATGTTAGAGACAGAATACTTTCCCCCCACAGATCAATACTGCATTGGCAGGCAACACAATACGATGTATCTATTTGAACATGCTATTTTTTGCCGTTTGATGTAATCACACGAAATCACACGCTCAGCGATTGATTGGTCAACGAATATAAACTGAACATATATAAACAGCGGTGTGATCAATGAAAATATACCTTGGCTTCAGTGTCTTACCTCCTGCTGTTAGAAAACGATCATCATTGAAGATCGTTGTAATGACTATTAATATTAATTTTATAATTACTGCAATTTTTGTAAGTATAGTGGTGGCGGTGGTGGTGGTGGTGTTGTGCAATATTTGCATTGCGAATACCACCCATCACATTCATCTTCCTCATGTGCAATTGACTGAGCCAATCTATCTACGACGAATTGACTAGGTTTCGTAGAATGAATCCTGAATGGCACGACCTCGAATCTCTCGCTCTTTCATTCTCTCAACCACTCACTCACTCACTCACTTGCTTACTTACTGTGGTGTGCCAGGCATTGATTAGCCAGCAGCAATACTATACTATATACACATGACAGAACGAAACCATCATTGTATAAATGCAGCTGCAGCAGCGTGAATGATGTTTCGATTTTATTCATCTAGGAAGCATTTCACCTATTACATCAATCAATCAATCCAACTGTTCTTACTTCTACTCACTCATCATCTTCACACATTATCCTATCAAATATTTCTCCACATCAATGTGAATCTTCATTGTAGATCTTCATTGCCTACAAGTTGATGCATAACTACGATGAATTGAAGAGACAGAGAGAGGGGAGACAGGGTTTGAAACAGAGACAGAGAATAGGAAGGATGTGGTGAGTGTGTGAATAGCTTGTCGATGAATGTGAGATGTAGAGAGGAAGCGATAGAGCAGTCAATATGTGTGTGTATGTATGTGTGTGTGAATGTGAGATTGATTCACAGCTCAGGAATGCATCCGATTTATACTAGAATTAATAAGACTGTCTGTTCCCAGATTTCGCTGAGAATTTTCGCACAGCGAGCTAGCCAGCTATCTCACTTTGTTTAATACAATGATTCCCTTTTATAAATTTGAACAAAGAGAGAAGAAACATTGGCGCAGAATAATCTGGATCCATTTTATTTCGTTAGTTCTCATCAGCTGCGTACAACCTGAATTTTTGTTATTAAAAAATAAATAGTGTACAATTTTTAACAAACCTATGTCCATTAGCAAGCATAATGTCAGAGCGTCATAGTAAAATAAGGCATTGAGATTTACAGGGTGTCTCAAGTGTCACGACATGTATATATATGTATCTTGGTAGAGAGAAGTTTCTTGAAAAAAATTCGTTAACAGTTGTGTTGTTAGGGTGGTAACAAAAGACAATTAGCAATAGTTACGTAATTAGATAAGAGAAGATCAACATTTTTAAAATTACGGTGCACATGAGGTCAGATGAGAAGTTGATGATGTAATACAGTGAGCAGAACTCAGAAGATCAAGAAAAAATATCTCTTAAGAGAGTCAAACGAAAAATAAAGGGGAGGGGTGGAGTGAAAAGACAAGTTAACAAAATCAACAAAATTAGAAAACAAAGAGTTACTAAGAAGTCAGTTAACAGGGTAATTGAAGTCCAACGACGGATTCCTTTTGGACACATAAGTCAAGCTTATCTGACATTGTCCGCCGAATAACGCCGACTAAGCAAAGTTTGCATTTAAGAATTGCAGAACGCAAATTGCTTTCCAATTTATGCATGTCAGTCAACCAGTCAATCAATCAATCAATTGAAGCTATTCCAAAGTGGGGATCAAGACACATGCATCGACCCACCAACCAAATGAATAACCAACGAGCTGACGAACTAATCAACCAACGGACGGACGGACGAAACAACCCACTTACCAACCAATCAACAAACCAGATGCAATGACGGACTGAGTCGCAAATACAAGGATGACTTATTTATTCATCACATAGTGAATAGGTGAAAGGGGAAAACGAATTGCGAGTGAGCGAGCAAGCGAGCGAGCGATTCAGCCACCTGGCGAACAAGTCATCGATCTTCCAAACGAGTGAGCGGTCGATCGTTCGAGTGAGCATATCAATCGAACCATTTCACATTACGCGTACTCATTGATTCTACTGATTGATTACTGATCAGCTGACTTCGAGTGTGACCACGGGTTCGCTCGACAGGTTAACTTCGAGGAGTATAAAAAGCACGGTGTATGTGAGTAGTCAGCTTCAAGTTGACAGTAAACAGTTCTTCACAGTAAACGACAATGCAGATGTTCACTGTATGTTACAATACTCTTGTATAATATTATATGCCTTCCTTCCTGATGGGCATTTTCATTTCAGCTCGTCTTAGTTGTACTCGTTGCATCACTGGGATTCGAAATGGGAGGTAAGTCTTCCTCCTGCTCCTCCTGCTCCTGCTCCTCTTCCTACTCCACGTCATCATCAACATCAACGTCATGACCATGATCACTCGTTGACATAAGAGAAGAGATAGACAATGCAGACAGACAAATAACACATTCACTCAGTAGAAATGATGTCATTACATGCTACCTTAGTTGATGAGACAATGAATGAAGGAGTGACTGAGTTGGTGATAGAGTGAGTCAGTGGGTCAGTGAGTGAGTGGGTGAGTGGGTGGGTGGATGTATGAAGCAAGTAATGACTGAGTATTTAATTGTGGTGTTTTGTTGTTCTGTGATTTCAGTTATTGCAGGTCCAGTTCCAGAACCAGCAGCGGCAGCGGCAGCAGCAAACAGTGGTTGTCCTGGCTGTCCTGGTGGATGCCCTAAATGCCGTGGAGGGTGTTGTGGATGCCGTGGATGCCGAGGTGGAAATTGTCCAGGAGGCTGCTGTAAAGGCTGCCGAAGACATTAAACATTAACGCAGCAGACATCAATTGACTAATTAAACAGAACACGTCATTATTCAAACAAGCTTTCCTGCGTGAAGAAAATCCTGTCATCATTGATCTGAAGACGGTGGACAATGTGTACTTTTAGATAGATATCCTCTGTACAACTTACTAATAATAAATACACTTGCATTATCCAAATCACACCTTTCAGACTTCTTCTTTTTCAGTCAATTGTCTGTCAATCAGCGAAGCTCTGATTCTCCCCTCTCCTCCCCTCCCCTCCCGCTCACCGAAATTACCATCGAACCATCTTGTGTAAATTCCTCTGTGTTTCAACCAGATACTTCGTTGCTTCATCGGTTGGTCATTTAGTCAGTGAGACAGTTTGTCAGGCTGTTGGTCAGTCGAGTAGGCGTGCAGTCAGCCAGTGTGAGAGAGAGAGAAAGCCAGTAAGTGGCTAAGTAAATGAGTGAGTGAGTCATGGAGGGAGTTGGTCAGCTAGGCAGTGAATGATGTGGCGTGTTGATTTCTGCCAGTTGAATTGAGGCGTAAATCTCTGCTGAATGGAATTTAAAGCATACGAAAATATGATTGATATATTCGGCCAAATAAACCAGCATCA